TTGGAAAGATTTAAGATTTGTTCATTATTTATTATATTATTAATAAGGTCTATTGGTTTAAGTTTTGTTGTAGAATGGATTGAATTATTGTATGCTAATAGTGACTTAAAAATTTTGTCCTGTAAATCATCTGTATTTTCTGGGTCTGCATTTAATATTCTGATATGTTCGTTGAGTGTTGAATGTAGTCGTTCTACATCAGCGTTTCCTGTTTTCAAATAAGGTGTAGTAATATGTAATTTTATTTTGTGTTCTTTCAGAAATTCTCTTATCATTACTGTATCTAATTCGTTATCTGTAACTATTGTTTCTGGTTTTCCTAGGTATTTGAATCGTGATTTTAAGGCTTTTATTATTGAGATCCAAGTTCTGTCTTCTAAGAGTTCTGCAGTTGCGTATTTTGTCAATTTATCTATTGTTGTTAAATACATTGTATTTCTTTGTGGAAACCAAATGTCAATATGTATTATTTCGTTATGTTTGGTAGGAGTTTTAGTTATACTTAAATTGTGTTTAATAGGGTTTCTATCAAATTTAGCTCTATTACAAATGTCACAGTTATTAATGAATTTTTGTATTTCTGTTTGTAGTGTTGGAGTGTAATATTTTTGTTTTAATTCTGAAAATATTTCGTTAATTCCCCTATGGTTATTTTTGTTATGCTCATTTTCTATAATTTGTAACAATTTTCCTTTGTCTATTATGTCTTCTAAAATTAAATTAGTTTTTAGTATTTTTAAATTTTTATTTTTTACAAAGTAGTTAATATATAATTTTTGGAATTTTAAATATATGTCTTTATCTTGGCAGTGTACTGCCGTTAATCCTTTATTTGGGAGTTTTTCCCTCATGTAATTTAATAATGTTGTATCATCATTGTCTTTCAATGTGATTGTACTTCGTACTTTATCTTTAAATAATATTATATTTGTTATTCTGTTTGTTCTTCCTTTCCTAATTATAATTTGATTTTTAAATAGATTTATAGGTTTTTCAGTAATTCTGATGAAATCCATACTGTCAGTTTCTGCACTGTGTACAGTTTGATTGTCATCGAAAAGCTCGTTAAGATTTATTTCAATGTCATCTTTTCCATTGTTATTATCTTCGAGAATTATCCTGCTCAGTCCATCTGCTATTACGTTTTCCTTGCCTTTTATGTAATTTATATCGAAATCGAATTCATTTAGTTTTATCTTCCATCTCTGCAGTTTGCAATTAGGTTCCTTAAGGTTGTGAAGCCATACTAGAGGTCTGTGATCTGTTTTTATTTGGAATTTTCTTCCAAACAAGTACATTCTGAAGTACTTGGTTGCCCAAACTATAGCTAAGAGTTCTTTCTCTATAGTACTATAATTCTTTTCATGATCGTTAAGTGTCCTACTAGCAAATGCTATTGCTTTATTTTCTTGCATAAGCACAGCACCTAGTGCATAATTGCTTGCATCTGTGGTTAGTGTAAATTGTTTATGGAAATTTGGTCTTATTAATATAGGATCTGATTTTAATAATGTTTTTAATTTATTGAAAGAGTTAATATAGTCTTGGTCTTTCATATTGATTTTGGTATTTTTTTTCAGGTATTTCACCATATGATGGGCTATTTTGGAGTAATCTTTTATAAATCTCCTATAGTACCCAGTAATTCCTAAGAAAGATTTGATCTGTTTGACCGTTTTAGGCAATGGAATCTTTTCTATTGCTTCTACTTTCTTTGGATTGGTCTTTATACCGTTTTCTGTTACAATATGTCCTAGAAATTCTGTTTCTTTTGCACAAAATGTGCATTTATCTATCTGTAATTTAAGATTTGCATTTCTTAATGCATTTAATATTTTTATAAGGGACTCAATGTGTTCTTCTAAACTTGTGGAAAATATAAGTATGTCATCTAAATAAACTACACAAATTTTACCTATGTATTCTTTTAAGACTGAGTTCATTAGTCTTTGAAATGTTGCAGGTGCATTCTTTAATCCGAATGGCATCCTAAGAAATTCGTAATGTCCGTGCTTTGTAGAAAATGCTGTCTTCTGTACATCGTCAGGGTGCATTTCAATCTGATGAAATCCCTTGGCTAAGTCCAGTGTTGTAAAATATTGACAATTTCCTAATTTACTCAGTAATTCATCCATGTGCGGTATGGGGAATCTGTCCTCCACTGTTATGCTATTCAACTTCCTGTAGTCGATAACTATTCGCCATTTTTGGATGTTAGAGTTGTCCAATTTCTTTGGTACTATCCAAATTGGACTGTTGTAAGGACTATTTGAATCCTTTATAATACCTTGTTGTAACATTTCGTTGATTTGTGTATTTACTTCATCATTGTGTATTTCAGGGTATCTATACAATTTAGAATAAATAGGAATGTCGTTTTGTGTTGTTATTTTGTGCTTAATATCATTCGAAAATGTCAAACAATCATTTTCTTTGTAGAATATATCTTTATATTTGCCTACAGTTTTATATAAGATGTCTTTTTCGAATGGTTGCAAATTGTCTACCTTAATAAATGAGTTTATATTGTTTATATTTATTTGATTATTATTAATTTCGATTGGATTTTCATTATAAGCTGTATTGTTGTATTCCTCCTCTTCTTTGGATAAGAATATGGTTATGATTGCAGTATCGGTTATTAGTTGCCTATTACGTAAATCTATTTTAGCGTTTAAATCTTTTAAAATATTTATACCTATTATACCGTCGAAGTTTTTATTAAAATCGCATTCCAAAAATTCACATTTATAGTCTGGTAAGTTAAATTCTTTAAAAAGTGGGAATTTACAAAGGGTTTTTATGTTAATTAAATTATTCATTGCAGTTACATTTAAATTAATATTAAATTTCCATTTTGGTTGGCATAAATTTGGATTTATTATACTAAATTCTGCTCCTGTATCTATAATAAAATAGAGTGGTCTAATATGATTTTTTATTTTTATATAGGGAAGTTGTTTGAGGCATTTGCGTGAAAATCCTCCTCTGCGCTATTTATTTGAAATGGTGCTGCTAAGACTGTTCCAATGTCCATCGGTTGTGGTCCATTTGAGCGTCTTGTTTGGGTAGAAGGGGAAGGTGTGTAAAAACTTCTGTTATTTATATTACTTGTGTTGAGATTGTTAGTTTGTTGCCTTTGTCTAACGGGTGTGTTATAGATATTATTGTTTGGTGTTCTATTAATATTGTTATTAAAATTATTGTTGTTATAACTATTTCTATAATTATTGTTATAGCCATTGTTGTTATTATTTCTATACATAATAGATGAATTATTATTGTTATTACTTTGTCTAGTTTGTGGGTTATTATTATTGTTAATTCTGTTATTGTTATTATTATTATGGTAATGGTTATTTATGTTGTTACTAGGGTTTCTATCGTTATTATTATATTTTATATATCTACTGTTGTTATTTCTTATATGGTTATCACTGAAATTAGTATTTATTCTATTATTGTTATTTCTACTAGGTGCACCGAATTGTGTGTAATTTTGGTGTCTAGCTTCAATAATAATTTTATAAGCTTCTTCTAAGTCTGTTGGATTTCGAGCAATTAATAGGGTTTTTGTTGGTTCTGGTAAATGGTTTTTAAATGTTTTTAAGGCAATTCTATTTATTTCACTTGTGGTGTAAGTCCCATCATTGTGTGTAAGGTTCCTATTATTTAATCTTGATACTAATTTGTTTATCTGAAAGTAATAATTTTCTATTGTCCCATATAATGTTAGAGTCTTCAAGCTATCCATTAGTTCATCGCTGCTCCTTTGTTCGCCATAATGTTTTTTTAATATATTTACTAATTCTGCCCATGTTGTTACGCGTTCCTTATGCAAAATACTTCTTGTTTGTCCTGTACATTTATTTTTTAAAAATTCAAATGCTATTTTCTTATTGTTTTCTGTTAAGCTATTAAGTAAGGGAATGAATGATTGTATTTGTTGAATGAAATCTGGTAATTGGTTCCTGTCCGTCCCGTCGAAATCGTTTACGTTTCGAATTAATTGGAGTACATTATTCAGGGTATCTAGAGCCATTTTACTAGTTTAGAATATCAAGGAACAATCAAGAATTTTAACAGATAAGGATACAATTCAGATTCAAAATTAAAATTGGAATATAATTACATTTATTTAGAATAAGGTTTACAATAAATTTGATATAAGTTAATTATTAAAATATAAATGTTATATAAAAATAAAAAAAATTCTGACTTCCCTTTGTGATCCGCTAGTCCTTTAATTTGGATGGTTGATTTTTTGGGGTTGTTGTCTCTGCTTATTGTTGATTTGTTGTTGATGGTTGCTTAATGTGATTGCTGCTTAGATGTTGATTAGTTGTTTATTATTTTTTTTTTCTTTTTATCTTGCACTTATTGGTTTTAATATATTTTAATATATTTAATATATTTTTGTTTTTATTATTTTTTGCACTGTTTGGTGTTATGTAAGTTGCTTCCGCATTTTTCACAATATTTTATTTTTGTGTAACCTTTTGATTTATTTACTAGGTCTTTTAAAATGTTCATTTGGATACACAAATTTTAATAATAACCGTTTTTTTTCATGTATTCAATGGCTTTTTTGCCTTCTTCACTATTATCGTAACTTTTACAAAATCTACGCCACTCCTCGTATTGTTTTTGCTCGTAATTTTTTATGAACTTAGCACTGTTAATTTTTTTGGTTAACCTCTCTGCTTTTTCGAACGAGGTTTTGTGCGAATTTTGATGGTTTTTTAAATCTTTTTTATGTTTAAAATCGTTATCGCAAAACGCGCAAGGATTATGAATTTTTAAGTGAAGTTCACGTTCTTCACTTGTATTAAAGTCTTTTTACAAAATCCGCAGGGAAAAGGTTTCATTTCACTTTTTCACTTATTATTTATTGCAAAAATTATCCTTAATTTTTTTTTTATTTATTTTAGCAAAAATTTCTCAAATTTTTGCGTTTTATCCTCGTCGCCAGTAATGTTGTTGCACGCTTATGAAGTGAAAAAAAAAAAAACACACAAATTTTCGTTTTCAAAATTTTATTTTTTAATTTTTTAAAACATTGATTTTTTACAAATTTTATTTTTAATTTCTTGATTTTTCAAATTTTATTGTTTTCACTATTTTTACAAATTCTACTTAAAATTTTGGTTTTTCAAAATTTTATTATTTTTTACAATTTTTCACAAATTTTAATTTTTAAAATTCACAATTTAATTATTTATTAATTTTCACAATTTTCACAATTCTACTTAAAATTTTGGGTTTTCAAAATTTTATTATTATTTTTACAATTTTCACAATTCTACTTAAAATTTTGGTTTTTCAAAATTTTATTATTTTTTACAATTTTCACAAATTTTAATTTTTAAAATTTTTGATTCTTCAAAATTTTATTATTTTCCACAATTTTCACAATTCTATTTAAAATTTT